CCCTGCCGCACATCAAGGGCCCCGCCCCGGGCGCAGCCGTCATCACAAACACACGCTCCTCCTGTGGTGCTGCCCCACCCTCTGCGTCCGCCGCCTGCCAGCCCTCGCCCTCCTGCTGCTGCTGCTGCTGCTGCTGCTGCTGCTGGTCCGCCTGGGCCGCGGCGCCGGCGCCGGGCAGCAGCCCCGCCAGCTGGCACGCCACGCTATGCACAATGCGCAGGCGATGCATGCGGTGAGCCAGGTAGCCGTTTGAAACCATCAGCCGCAGGGTATCGGCCCGGGGCCCCACATCCACCAACCCCTCCTCCTCTTCCCCACTGCCGCCGCCGAGGGCGCCCTCCCCGTCCGCCGCCTCCTCCTCCTCCTCCTCCCCCTCGCCGCGCCCGCCGCCGCCGCGGCTGCCGCGCCGCCGCCGCACCAGCCGCTGCACCGCCACCACCGGCAGCTCGATGCCTGCGGCGGCGCACGGCGCACACGAGTCCACACCTTGACAACCACAGAGCGCCGACAGAGGGATGGCAGGTGGGGGAACCCGCCCGCTTGGAGCGAGCCACCGCAGCGCGGCGCACAAAGGAAGCAAGCAGGCAGGCAGACGGGCAGCAGGAGGGCAGGGAGGAGGACGGCAGGAAGCAAGGAGGGAAAGGGGGGAGAAGATGGGGTAAAGGGCAGGCAGGAAGGCCCACCTTGCTGCTCCTGCCGGTCCGCCTGCTTGGCCAGGGAGCTCCCGCCGTGGATGCGACGCTTGAAGGACAGGAAGTGCTGCGGGCGGGAGAGGGCGGCGGGCGGCCAGGCGGCGGCACCGGATTGGAAAGGCTGCCCAGGGAAGGGCACCAGCGCCAGCAGTACCCAGCGGTACCCAGCAGCATGCGCGCGCGCGGGCGTCGCACACACACACACACACACACACACGCACACAGGCATGCACACCCACCTGGTACACCGCGTCCACAAAAGCCTCGTCCTGGCGCGCCCCCGGCGCCGCCAGCACCGTGTGCGTGCGGTTCTGCATTGCGCCAAAGGCGCTGGCAGGAAAGGTGATTGACAGGACCTGCGGGGGAGGGGCGCGGGGCGGGGGCGGGGGCGGGCCTGGTGTGCGCTGCTGTGCGCTGCAGCGGAGGCTGGGTGCGGCAAGGCGTTGGGTGCGGTGGGGTGCTGGGTGTGGGGGGTGGTGGCTGGGTGCGGGCGGGCATGGCTCTGGGTGGGCACGGGCACACAGGGGTGATGCCTAAGTGCTGCGTGCATCACCCCCCAGGACGCCCCGCTCACGCCCACCTGCCAGCTGCCCTCCTCCTGGCCGAGCTTGATCATGCGGTCGCAGGTTTTGCGGTCAGGCATGCTCGCCTTGCGGTCCCCTTCCGCCACCGTCCGCTCCTGCGCAGAGCCGCAAGGAAGGGGCGGGGTGGGAGGCGAGAGGAAGCCAGCGGGGCGGCAGGCAGGAGGCCCGCCCACGCCTCCTGGCTGGGTGGCGAGGCTGGCGAGGCTGGCGCCGCCGCCGGCGGCAGCTCCCATCGGCCGCGCAGCTCCCATCAGCCGGCCAGGCATGTTGCTAGCGGTGTCAAGCGGTGGCGGTACCGTGCCCACCAAGAGGTACCGTGGCATCTCGGAAGCCAGCATGAAGCCGTGGTCCCGAATGGCTTCCTGGACCCACTGGTGCCGCTGCTGCGTCGCCAGCGTGTAGCGGCGGGATCCCTGAGTGCCTGCATCCCGATCGCCGCCAGGGGCGCCGCTCTGTGCGACGGCGCCAGGCAGGGACAGCGCCTGCGACGCAATCAGCAGCGGCTGCCCCTGCCCCTGCCCCTGGCCGGCCTGGTCATCAGCTGCCGTTCCCCCCGCTGATGCAGGCGCGGGGCCTGCAGTGGCGGCAGCCGCCTGCGCCGCGGCGGCCGCGGCGCCGCTGACGCCAAACTGGCTGCCCACGCCAAACTGGCGCAGCAGGGCATGCATCTGAGCCTGCTCCTCCCCTTCCCCCTGCTGCTGCTGCTGCTGCTGCTGCTGCACGCCCAGCAGCGGCAGGCCGGCAGGCGCAGCCACGCGCCCCTCCGCGGCTGCAGCCGTCGCCCCCTCTCCCTGCGCCTGCCGCGCCTGCTGCGCCTGCTGCGCCCACGCAGGCCAGGGGAAGGGCTCCCCCTCGTCTAGGCCCGCCTCAATGGCCTCCACAACCGCCCCCAGCCAGCCCGCGGCGGGGCGCACCGGCGCAACGGTGTCGCGGAACTGGCGCAGCAGCGGCTCCGGGGCGATGTAGCGGGAGGTCATGACTCGGCCCTGCACAGGGGGCCGCCACCGCAGGAGAGCACACATTCACTCCGCTGCCACCCACACCGCGCACAATGCTCCACCGCAGCGCCCAAAACGCGGCAGCAAAACCACGCCAGCAGCAGCAGCAACAGGGCTGGCAGGGGCGCAGGGCGGCAGCAGGGCGCCAGCGTCGGCGCCTGGCAGGGTGGCCGGCGGCGCCGCTGCTGGCGTGGCTCCCACCCTCCTTGAGACGCGCCGCCTGCGCCTGGGCCCTCCCACCCACCTGATTGACCGCGTGCTTGCGCACCCCGTACCGCGCCTCCACCTCCTTCATCCGCGTCTCGTTGCGCTTCATGTTGAGGCGCAGGGCGGCGTTGACCTGGCCAGTGGTCAGGCCCTCGGGCCCTGCAGGTTGACACACACGCAGGCAGGCAGCCGGACAGACAGGCAGGCAGGCAGGGCGATGAGGCAGGCAGGTGGTGGGGCGGGGCAGGCGGGCAGGGAAGCATGCGGGACAGGCAGGCTGCCAGGTAGGCGTGCAGGCAGATGGATGCGGGCGCAGGCAGCAGCCGCCGGCCAGGCGCCAACCAGCCACAGCCTGCCGGCGGCGGTGCCGCTCGCATCAGCACACACACACACACACACACACACCAGCACCACCACCCAGAGCACAGCCCCGGCCCACCCACCTGCTGCCACCAGCTCCCGAAGCAGCTGGCGGTCGAGCGACAGCTCCGCCACCTGCCTGGCCAGCGGCGGCCCGCCCGCCGCCTCCCCCTCCGGCCCCTCCTCCCCGCCCTCCTCCTCCTCCTCCGACTCCGACTCGTCATCACGCCATGGCTTCACGAGCTTGATGCACCTGTCGAGAAGCAGAGGCCGGGGCACAGCAGCCGGCGGGCAGCCGGCGGGCTTGGTCAGGTGTGAGTCCAGGGCTTAGCAGGCAGCAGGCCCGGTTAGGAGGCACGCACCCTTGCCTGGTCCCCCCAGTCAGCCGGGCATTGTCTGGCAAGGCTCCCGGCCTGCCAGGCGCCACCAGCCAGCAGGCCCCAGCCTGCCGCAGCTGGCCTTAGCCAAGCAACCCCCCCCCCCCCACACACACACACACACACCACCACCACCAGCCAGCCACACTCAGGCGCCACCCACCCTCAGGCACAGGCACCAAGGCCACCTGCGGACGCAGGCGCCGCACCTCGCTGGGCGCACGGGCACTCACTTGATGACCTTATCATCCGCGTTCCTGGCCAGAAACTCCTCGATCTGGCCCCGCTTCAGCAGCGCAGACTTGAGGCGGCGCCACAGGCGGTGTCCCGGCTTGCCCCGCATGCCGAGCACCGCCTGCAGGCGAGGGAGGGCAGGTGGCAGCGGCAGCGGGGTGGGAGCGTGCGCATGCATATGCGTGGCATGTGCATGTGTGTGCTGTGGGATACCGTGCGGCGTGGCGGATTGGGCGAGCGCCAGCGCAGCGGCGCGCAGCCCGCGGGACGGGCGAGATAGGCGGTGGCGCGGCAGGAGCACAGCGCGGCCAGCGTACGCAGCGCGCACGCCGTGCATGCAGCGCGTCGGCCGTTGCATGTAGGGGCAGCGCCCGGACGCCTCGCCCCGCCAGCCCCCACCCCCACAGCCCTAAGCAGCCCCTAAGAAGAAGAACAAGACCGACACACATGGGCGACTCTGGGGGAGATGCGCCGACAGGCTGGCAGCGCGCCGCAGCGCGCTCAGCGTGCCGGACCCGGCCCCCACCTTGAGCTGCGACTCGTCTGCCTGCTGCCCCGCGCAGGCCGCCAGCTGTGCACACACGCGGGCAAAGTGGGAGCGGTCGTCCAACACAGCGAGCTCCTCCTCGCCCAGGGCCGCCTGCTGCCCGGGCCGCGCACCGTGCACTTGGCTCTTGCCGTCCTGCCGTGGGCGTGGGTTGGGCAGTTGGGCAGTTGGGTGGGTGGGTGGGCGGGTGGGCGGGCGGGCACGGCGCGCGATGCAGGGCAGGCGCGCGGCAGCAGCGCTGCGGCGGAGCGGCAAAGAGCAGGAAGGGAGGGAGGGAGGCGACATGCCGCTCCCCACCAGAAAACCCACACGCACGCCCGCCCCACGCCCCCGCTGCTCTCACCGTCAGCACGCCCCTGCCCACGTTGGGCGGCGCCAAGCGGGTGAGGTGCAGCAGGTTGGTCTGAATGTGGGACAAGAAGGGGCCGCCGCCGCTCTGCTTCCTCACCAAGGTGGGGTGCTTCACCACCAGCCCCCGCTGCTCCAGCACCTGCAGGCAGGCAGCGCGGGCCGGGGCAGGGGGCAGGCGCAGGTGGGGGGCGAGGGAAGGATGGAAGGCGCGGGAAGGGGACGAGGGGAGGGAGGGAGCGGCGAGGGCAGCGAGAAGGAGCTGGTGGGGAGGGAAGCGGCGTGCCAGGGAGCGATGCGGCGGGAATTAGGGTGCCGGCTGATTCACAGGCAGGCTCGGCTGCGAGGCGCCTGATGAGGATCGACTCCACAAATCCATAGGTCATCAAACCTTTCACACACCCATATTTAGGCCACACACGCCAGCACACCTTCCCATACCCACACCCACACCCGCACCCACACACGCACCCGCGCCCGCACCCCACCCCACCCTACCCTCACCCCACCGCGCTTGCCACCTGCCCACCCCCTAGCTGCCGCCCACCTTGACGACGTAAAAGAAGTTGCGGTTCTCGGTGCCCAGGGCGGCGGCCAGGTCGTTCTGCAGCGCACCGCGCCGCCCGGCCGCGCCGATGAGCCCCAGCGCCTTGCGCTGCGGGGAGGGGTGAGAGGGCGGCAGGGGGGCGTGGGCCGCGAGCCGTGCGGGCGGCGCAGGGGCGCCGAGGAGGGGCGGCGGGGACGGGCGGGGCGTGCATGGCGGGTGGTGGGGCGAAGTGGCGGCGCAGCGAGGCTGGAGTGTGCAGCAGTCGCTAGGGTCACTTGGAGCCGTCGCCTAGCGGTGGCACGACCGGGCAGCCAGCCGGGCGGCCGCCACGCTGCTAGGGCCCACAGCTGCCGCCGGCTGCGGCCTGGCCGCCCAGCCCAGCCCCACCTGAGTGTCTGACATGTTGAAGCGGGTGAGCTGGGAGTCGTGCAGGCCCACGGCGGCGTCCTGCAGCTCCCGTCGAGCAGCCAGGCGCACCCCCACCGCCTCTGCCGCCGCCACGCTCGCCAGCTCGGCGTCGGCGCTGGGCCGCAGCCGGCGGCCGCCGGCGCGCGCGCTGCGGCGTGCGTGAGAGGGTTGGGGTTGGGGTGGTGGTGGGGGGTGCAGGGGGCGGCCAGGCAGCCTGGGGCCAGGCAGCAGGATGTGACCCGTGGTGCCACTGGCCAGTGGTTGCAACAGTTGTGGCTGAACCCGCAGACCCTGGTCATGCGCCAGCAGTCAACAGAGCTGGTGCTGTGTGTGCAGGGCAAGCGCGCGAGGCGGCCTGAGCACTGGGTGCCACACCTGGGCAGGGTGAAGCGCAGGCCGGGCTCCGCGGTCAGGAGGCGCCACAAGGCGGTGCGGACGGGCGGAGCCTCCAGCTGCAGGCCCGCCTCCTCCGCTGCGTCGGCCAGCGCGGCCCACAGCTGCGCCAGCGTGAGGCCTGCGTGGGGCGAGGGCGAGGGCAATGGGCCGAGGGATTGAGGTTGAGGGTTCGAGCCCCGGTGACGGAGACGGCGGCAAGCCACGTTTTGCCCGCCGCCCTCCCAGCAGCGCCACAGACCATGCACTCGCTGCTCACCATCGGGGGCCAGGGCCACCTGCTCCACAGCACTGCTCAACACTTCATCCATTCTTGCAGTTGTTTTCGTTCGTCAGAGCCCTGCCTTCAGCGCCATGGCGCTGCCTGCGTTCTGAAGTTGTTGCAGGGGGAGGGGAGGGCTCCGAGAGAGGCTGCGATGCATTGTCACGCCAGATCAGCAGCGTGACAACAGCCAGAGGTCCAAGGCAAACCTCCCTGACGTCGTTGACACCGCAACAGGCCTCGTCAACCAACACCTCGGGCTTCCCCAGTAGTGCATGCAAGGCGAATCGGCGCTGGTTGCAAGGCAGCCGCCAGGCACTCCGCGCCGCCAGCGTCTCAGCAGCCTGCATTGCACTCGGGAGGCTTGGGCGGCTGATCTGACATAAACGGATGCCCCTCATGTCCGCCGCTCTGATGCTCCGGGCTGGAGCCGTGGGCCTGACGCGGGCTGGAGCCCTGAGCCTGTGCCTGCGACCTCGCGCCACCGGCCTGCTGCTGCTCAAAGCCCCACGCCGCCAGCACGCTGCGAGCCTGGCCGCCACCTCGGTGACGGTGCGGGCGGTGGCGGCGGAGCGGCAGCAGGCGGCCGCGCCCCCGGCCACCTTCACCCAGCTGGGCGTCAGCCAGGAGCTGCAGGTGCGTGCGCTGGGGGGGGTGCCCACTGCTGCGGCTGGGCAGGCTGTTGTGCGGCCCGGCTGTGCCACCACAGACAGCACCGCCGCGTCGCAGCCAGCAGCCTCTTTTTGAGCTGGCTGGGCTCATATCCCCAGGACGCTCTGTTGATCCCCCACATTGGTACTGCTGCAGGCGGCCCTGGCTGAGAAGGGCATCAGCGAGCCGACCGAGATCCAGGCGGCGGCGGTACCGGCGCTGCTGCAGCACCGAGCCGCCGACTTCCTGCTGGCTTCCCACACCGGCAGCGGCAAGACGCTGGCCTACCTGCTGCCCCTGGGTGAGCTGCTGTGGTGCGGTGCCTGTGCTGGTGCGGTGCTTGTGTGGTGCTTGTGCCTTTGCTTGTATGGTGAGTCTGCAAGGGTGTGTGAGTTTTATCTGGTGGAAGGAGGAGGCAGGTGGATAACGGGTCACCACGCCTGCCCAGCTCCGGTCCCCACACCCGCTTACCCACGGCTGCTGCTGCTGCTGCTGCTGGCTCCCCTGCCCCCACCCCCTCCCCTGCCGCAGTCCAGCTTCTGAAGGAGGGAGAGCAGCTGAGGGGCGCTGCGGCTCGGCCGCGGCGGCCGCGTGCGCTGGTGCTGGGACCCACCCGAGAGCTCACAGACCAGATCCTGAGGGTGGCAAAGGTGACCAGAAAAGGGGGCAGCGGCGGGCGTGGGGTGAATGCTGGCGGCTGGCAGTGGGGCACGCTGGCTGGGGCCGGCGCGGGGTGTGTTGCCGGCGTGCCGGCATGCATCCCCTGCCCTCGGCGCAGCGAGAAGTGCCTGCCGCTGCCCTGCCGTGCCCCACCCGCCTCTCCCTGCCCCGCCCCGCCCCGCCCCGCTGACCCCGCCTTGGCTGCCGCCCCGCGCCCGCCAGGCCCTGTCCCACACCGCCAAGTTCCGCTCCTCTGTCGTCAACGGCGGCGGCGACATGGGCGGGCAGCGCGAGGCCCTGGAGCGGCCGCTGGATGTGCTGGTGGGCACCCCGCAGCGAGTCATGCAGCACGCAGGTGAGCCTGCCAGGCGGGACAGGGTGTGTGTGTGTGGTGGAGTGGTTGCGGAGTGGGTGTGCGGTGTGGGTAGGGAGGGGGAGGCAGGGAGAGGGGCCGGGCCATGCTCCCGAGTGGCGGCGCCGGGAGGGTGTGGGCGGGCAGGGGTGGGGCGCGGGAGGGACGGCTGCTGCGCGGTATGGGCGGCCAGCCGGCGTGGCAGGCAGCGCCAGCGGGAGTGTGTGCATGCCTGCGGCGAGGCGCCGCCGGCAGCGCGGCAGCGTGCCGCTCACCTGGTGGCCCCGCCTGGCGTGCCCGGCCGTACCGTACCGCAGAAAAGTCGCACCTGTACTACGGCGACGTGGAGGTGGTGGTACTGGATGAGGCCGACACCATGTTTGACCGCGGCTTTGGGCCAGAGGTGAAAGCGATCCTGGCGGCGGTGCGCGGCAAGGAGCAGCCCGCTCGCTGCGTGCTGGTGTCGGCCACGATGAGCAAGGCGGTGGGGCGGCTGATCGGTGCGTGGCGCGGCGCGGCGCGGCGGGCTGCCTTTGGGGGGCGGCTGCTCACGTGCTGCTGGGTGTCTGGTTGTTGGCGTGTCTGGTGCTGGCTGGCTGCAGGCCAGCCGCCAGCCGTGCCGCGGCAGCGGGCACGCGCATGCGTGCTGGGCAGCCACTCTGTGACTCGCGGGCCGCCTGCCGCGCAGCGGCAGGCCTGCGCCTTGCCCCGAGCCGTCGCCGCCTGCCTCCCTACCCTGCCTGCCCTACCCTGCCCTGCCTGCTTGTCCCTGCCCCGCCCTGCGCTCCGCAGATGAGGAGTTCCCCGGCATGCGGCGGGTGGAGACGTCGTCGCTGCACCGCGGCGTGGCGGGCGCGCGGCACGCCTTTGTGCCCATGCCGGCGGCGGCCAACAAGCTGGACCTGCTCTTGCAGGCAAGCCGGAGGGGTGGGCTGGGGGTGTGCAGGGGGTTGGGGGCTGCTGTACCGCCAGAAAGGGTCGGCGCCTGCTGCTGAGCATCAGGTACCTGGCTGCTGCCGCTGCCACTGCGGCCAGCTGCTCGGCCGTCCGGCTGCTCGGCTGGGTGCTGGCGCCTGCTGGGGCGCTGGAGCGCGCGCCACCACCTCCAGGTTTGCTCCTTCGCCCCCTCATTCCCGTCCCTGGGCCCGCCGCCACCCTTGCGCTGCTTGCCTTGCAGGTGGTGGAGGGGGAGCACCAGCGGGGCAAGCGTGTGATGGTCTTCTGCAACACCCTGGCCTCCTGCCGCGCAGGTGTGTGTGTTGCGGTGTGTGGGGGGGGCGGCTGGGCGGGTCTGGACGGCTAGGAGAGCAAGTGTGGGGCGTGTGCGTGAGTGTGGATGACCTCGTACTCTCCCCTGCCCACCCACCCACCCGCTGGCCCCTGCGTCCTCCCTCCCTTTCCTGATCCCTCGCTCAACCCTCCCTCCCTTGCCCCACCCCTCCCCTCCCTCCCTGCCCCCGCAGCCGACCACTTCCTGACCGAGCGAGGCCTGCAGACCGCCTGCTACCACGGAGACGTGCCGCCAGACGAGCGCCGCGCCGCCATGCAGAGCTTCGCCGGCGGCGACGGCGTCAGCGGCGAGCGCCCGCCGCTGCTGGTCTGTACTGACCTGGCGGCCAGGTGGGTGTGGGGTGTGTGGGGTAGAGGGGTGGCGGCTGCTGCCGGCAGGCAGTGCCGCGCAGCCCAGCCTCGTGTGCCGCCGCTCTGCTGCCAGGCTCCCGTGTCGACCGCTGCACCCGCTTCCTCCTCAGCAGGGCCCTTCAAACCGCCGGCGCGCTCCCGCCCGCGAGTCTCTGCTGTTGCTCACTGTACTGCACCGTGGCCGTCTGCCTGTACCGCCTGTCTGTACAGCAGGGGCTTGGACATGCCCGGACGGGTGGACCATGTGGTCAACTTTGACTTTCCTCTCAACCCCATTGACTACCTGCACCGCACGGGGCGCACCGCCCGAGCGGGGGCCACGGGTGGGTGTCAGCGGGGCGGTGGGCGTGGCTGGGCCGGCTGGTGTGCTGTCTGTGAGGAGGGAGGGCAGGTGGGCAGCAGGTGGGCTGCAGAGTGCAGCATGTGCGCGGCAGCAGGCGGGCAGCGCACATTGGAGAGGAGAAACAGGGGAGAACCACAGGCCAGGGTGGCGAGCGCTGTGCATGCTGTGGTTGCTGCGGCCGCTGCTCCCGCCCAGCCCCAACTGGCCCACCGACACACCAGCCTCCCCTTCTCGCACACTGCAGGCAAGATCACCAGCCTGGTGGCTAAAGGGGACCGAGTGCTGGCTGAGCGCATAGAGGAGGCGCTGCAGCGGGGGCTGCCACTGGATGCGCTTTCTTCAGACCGAGCAGTGCTGCCGCCGCACATGAGGTGCGGAATGGTTGGCGTGTGTGGTGGTGGTGGTGTGTGTGGGAAGGGCCGCGTTTCGCCGGCAGATGCGGCTGCTGCAATGCCTTGGCGCGCTTTGGCAGCAGGCTGAGGACGCGCTTGGCACTGAGCGGGAGCATGGCAGCATGCCTGGGTCGCCACCTCCCAGCTGGCGCAGCTGGTGGCTTGCCACCCACAGCCCCTTGTCCCTGTTCCCTTCATCTTTACCTTACCCTGCTGCCCTTTCTCCCGCCAGGCCTAAGCCCGAGACGCTGCGGCGCAAGGCTTTGGAGCGCAAGGCGGAGAAGCACGGGAACAAGGGGGTGCGGGGGGCCAAGCGGGTGGATCGTGGCGGCAGCAGCAGCAGCAGCAGCAGCAGCAGCAGCAAAGGAAGCAGCAAGAGCGGCGGCGGCTTCGGCAGCAGCAGCACGTACAAGGGCAGCGGCAGCAGAGGCCGCAGCGGCGGCGGTTTTGGCGCCAGGGGCGGCGGCGCGGCACCGACTGGCGGCAGGCGCGCCGGCGGCGGCAAGCCCCGGCAGCGGCAAGCGAAATTCAAGTGACGGTTGCCAAGCATTCCTTCATTCACTGGCTTGCCATTGCACCTTCTCTTACAGTCCGAGTTTTATCAAGACACAGACAGACTCCCTGTCGGAACGGGGCAGGGGCCGGTTGGGGTGCAGGGCAACAAACGGGGACGACAGCTGGCAGCAAGTGACCCAGGCCGGCATGGGCCCAATCAAAAACTGCTGCCAAGGTGAACGATGAAAAGTGTGAGTCAAACATCTGCAGGAGGGGCTGGGAGCAGTGTACATGTGGCATTGTGTGCAAACTAACAGACACCTGGCTGGGGCAGGGTTCATCGGGAGCTCAAGGCGGAGACATCAGGTGGCGCTTCACCTGAGCGGCACGCCATGTGATGTAGGTGTCTGCCATTGCTGGCAGCAGCAGCCCCAGATTAAAAATCCCAGACAAAATCCAGGCCCCAGAAAAGCCTGGTGTGGCCCACACAACTCCTGAGAAGCACCACGCCACATAGTGCAGCAGCAGGACGAACGACGTCAACCAACATGAAAGCATCAGCGTGGTCAGCAGCTTTGCCATCTGCAGCGTGTGCGTCTCGCGCTTGGAGGCCTGGTCGGCTGGCGGCAGGAAGTGCTGCCTCAGCCCTGCCTGCAGGGCCGGGCATGGGGTAGGGGCTGGTTCTGGGCGCATGCCAGGCTCGGATGCACGTGCGCCCGATGCGCATGGCTGGCATGCACCCACCCTGTAGATAGGTGAGCGGCGAACGTCCGCCAGCCGCCACGTCAGGCCGCACCAGAAGACGAGGCCCAGCACTAGCGGCACCAGCTGCCGCAGCGGGGGCAGGGCCGGCCGCCACTGCGCCGCGGCTGCCACTGCGCGCGACGCCTGCTGCTCGCCTGCGCAAGCTGCGGCGGCGGCAGCCGGGACCAGCTGCAACGCCGGCGCCGCAGCTGCAGGTGGCGTGCCTGCCCCGCCGCCCGCCGGCTGCACAACGGGCGTGCGGCAGCTGGCGTGGCGGCTGCGCCTGGCATCAGCCGGAAGCAGAGGCCCGCGGCCCCTAGCAAAGGCTGCTGCGCGAGGCGCCATGCCCGGCGCGCCTGCAGAGAGTCGCTGAGCCTCTTTTCAAGCAGAATCTGGGCATGAGCGTTGGCCTGGGCCTGGCCTGCTGTCGGCAGCGGCGGTGGCAGCGGCCCCCAGAGCTCACCGCGGTTGGCATGCAGCCGCAGGGGCGCTCTCATGGCGCAAGCCGTCATCATGCTGGTTGAAGTGCTGCAACGCAGGAGGCTGGGGGAAGGGTTAGCCACTCCGAGGAATTTAGCGGCGCTTGTGTGGGCGCCCGCTACTGCGCCGGCGCCGGCAGGCCCTCCCATGGCCCTCACTGTTGCGCCCTGCGTGGTCCAAGGCAGACCCGTGGGGCGCAGGCGCAGGAGCCTTTCAGTGAAAGCGCCGCCCTGCTTCGCACCTCAGAACAACGCTGGGCTCTTCAGGCGGCCACTGGTTGACCTCAGACGTCCGCACAATCAGGCTGCCTGCACCAAAGCCCCTGATGATGAAGGCCATCCTCAGGACCCTCCCTGACCTGCCCGCCCCGCCCCGTCATCAGGTGCCGCCGCCACATCCTGCCAAAAGCACCTCTCCCACGCCTGCTTCTCTTGCGTTTGTATTTGTGTTCTGAACCCGCCATGCGTGACTTGTAAGCAGGCGCGCACTCGCCTGCCGCGTGCCGCGCAAGCCCTCGAGCGCTCCCCTCCCTGCTCCTGCCCGCCTGCATTTATCGATGCGGCATGGCGTGGGTCGGGGATTGGGCGCGGCGCTGGCCCTGGCGCTTGCAGCGCTGGCCGCCAGCACTTTTGCCGGTGCCGCCGCCGCTGCGCTTGAGACGCACACAGGTGAGCAGCGTGCCAGGGCCCTTCTGCGTCCACGCATGCCATCCGGGCTGCGCTCCACTTCCCCTGGTATCACCTTGCCTCAACCGCACACCTCATCGCCCGCCCGCAGGCACGCTGCGGCTGTGGCGCGGCGACCAACACTTTCGTGAGGAGGCGGCGGTGGTGGCGGTGGATGCCCCCACCCAGCTCTTCCTCTCGCTGGCCAGCCCGCGCAGCCTCAGGCCCCTGCCGCCCGGCTGGGGCGACGGCGCGGAGGTCGAGGTCGTGGGGCGCAGGTGGGTGCTTGCAGCTCACTGGCACTGGGGCCGCCTGCTGTCCTGTGGCGGCCCGCAGCACCAAGCAGGGGCAAGCAGGGGGCATCCCCTTGTGGGCCTGCCCTCAGCCCCCGCTTTCTGCTTGCCGCCGGCTGCCGCTGAATGCACGCTCAACGCACCCACCACAGTACACACACTCAGGCACCCACGCACATACCCCTGCCACAGGATATCTGGGTCTGGTCTGAGCTGGGAGTTCCGTGCCGACAGCTTGTCGGTGGTCAAGGCAGCCCCGCCGCGGCGCGTGTTTGGTGGCGGCGGCGGCGGCGGCGGCGACATCAGCGCGTCAGCCGCCGCGAAGCCGGGCCTGCGGGTGCTGTACCTGCGGGCCAGGTTCCCGCGGGACTGCGCCCTGGCCCCCGGCTCGGCGCGCCAGACCAAGGCGACGGTGCAGGTGCAAAGCGCTGGGCTGGCTGGCCGGCACTGCCGCTGCCGGCCCCGCCCACCGCCACCACCACTGCCGCCACCCCATCAGCGTGCACAAGACTCACAGCCTTCTCACAGAAGAAACCAGGCACACTGGCACACACTCGCACCGGCACCACCCTGTCGCCGAGCCCTGCCCGCCGCCGCCCCTCGCGCAGGTCGCCAGGAACATCGTGCTCAACGCCTCGGCCACGCTGTCCGCCTGCTCCTTTGGCCGCACCTCGCTGAGCGGCGCGGCGCTGGTGGTGACGCCGCTGCTGCCCATGACGTGCGCCGAGGCTCGCATGGATCCGTGAGTGGAGCACCGCCCTCTCCCGCTGTCTGTGGATGGTCCAGAGGGCGTGTGGGTGTACTGCTGGTGGCAGTGCGGGTGGCGGCGGCACCGCTGGCGGCCCGCTGCCGACAGCAGGCTGCCGAGCCTCGGTCCTCGGGCACGCCCACCACCTCCTCCGCAGCCAGCCGTACCAAGCCGCTCCAGCCGTACCGGGCTGTACCAGGCTGTACCTTGACCGCCCACGCCCCTCTGCCTCCCACCCTCTCGTGTCCTGTCCTTTCCTCCCTGCCCTGTCATCCCTGCCCTGCAGCTGCGCCATGTCAACCATGCTGGGCTGGGCCCACGTCATGAAGCAGCGCGCCGCCAAGCAGCTGGGCCTGAAGCTGGCCAAGTGGGTTGCCGCGCGTGTGCGTGCGTGCGTGCGTGCGTGCGTGTGTGTGTGTGTGTGTGGGTGTGTGTGTGTGTGTGTGGCCGGTATGTGTAAGTGCCTGCGCAGGGAGGGCAGGGCAGGGATGCTGCGATGCACGGTCCAGCCGGCAGCTCGCCGCCGCAGGGCGTCGGCTCACGCCGCCAACTTGTGCGCCCTCCCCCCGAAACTGCTGCACACAGCTGCCGCCGCCGCCTGCCCGCTGCACGCCTGGCCGGCGCCTGCCACTGCCCCCCGCCAGCGATGGCAGCGGCGGCTCCTGTGTGCTCTCACCAAGGCAGCGTCTTGCCTGCCCGCCCTCAGCTTTGGCACCCCCAACACCCAGCTGCCCCCGCCGCCACCGGCCCCGCAGCTTCGACATCTTCAACGCCGACTACCCCGACACCGCCACCCCCTCCACCCGCGACCCCTCCTGCGCCCTCAGCTACGGTTCCAGGGGCAACCTAGGCGGCAACACCATCTACGACAATTACCCCGCCTCCCAGCCCGCACACATCTTCCTGCACGAGGTGGGCATGGGTGGGAGAGCTGGGGGGCTGTGTGCGTGGCTACGTGTGCGGGGTGCACTTGGGGGGGAGCGGCGTGACCTTAGGGGGGAGTGCAGGGCCCCAGCCTGCCTACATCTGCCTGCTGGAGGTGTGTGTGTGTGTACCGGGAGGCAAAGGGCCTGGCTGTGTGTAGTGACGGCACTCTGGCGGCGGCCGTGTCGTGTCTGTGTGTCGGGTGGAACCTGGCGGCTGGCGGCGAGGTCTGGGGGCTGCCTCAGGCGTTGGAAGGGCTGGCCGCGGGGCAAAGAAGCCCCAGCCGGAGCGCGCACCCTGCTGCGAGAGAGGGGGCCGGCGGATGGAGTTCGGGGCTTGCTGGGGCTGCGGCCACCCCCTGCGGTACCCCCAGCGACCGGCGCCCCACCCTCTGGCCGCCCTCCCACGCAGATGCTGCACAACCTGGGCCTCATCCACGCCAACTCCTGGGACGGGGCCGCGCTGCCCAAGCGCCGCGGCAAGGACAAGTGAGGCCGGCGAGGGCGCCGCCCCGCATCGCCTCAGCGCCGGCAGGCGGGCCCTTGCCTGCACCCTGCACGTGCAGCCCCGCGTGCGCTGCCTGCCATGTGGTTGGCGGCGGCGCCAGGCCGTGCCTCACCCGCCGCCGCACGCGCCCTGGGCGCGCCCCTCCCCGCAGCCGACTGCCGTGCCCGCCACCCCTGCCGGCCCTCCCTTGCCCCCCTGCCTGCAGCTACGGCGACCCACTGAGCATCATGGGCTTGGCCTTCGCCCTGAGCTGCCCCAACTTTCCAATGATGGCCCAGCTGCTCCCCAAGGCCTTCAAGCCCACGCAGCTGGCTGCGCCGCGCAGCCTGGCGGCGGGCAGGTTCTACCGCTTCACCCTGGCACCCGACTGGGTCTGGCCCGAGTTCCGCAATCGGCGGCACGCGGTGGGTGCGCCCTGCCTCCCGCCTGCCCACTGCCCGCCTGCCTGCACGCCTCGCACCCCCCTCCGACAGCGCCGCGGCGGCGGCGGAGGCCCGAGGCCCACCTGCCCACAGCGCCCCTGCCACCACAACCCGCCTCGCAGACCCTTAAAATCAACGTGGCCTCGCTGGTGGGGGCCAGCGGGAGCGGCAAGTCGGTGTGGATCAGCTACTTCATGTCTGAGAGCGGACCCAACAGGGGGGTGAACAGCACAGACGGCACGCGGGTGGTGGCTGTGCGATACACGTACCAGGATGCTGTGGAGACGTGGAACGTCGGCGAGCTCGGGGCAGGCGGCCTGCTGATGCTGGGGCTGACGCCCGCCAACGCCAGCGCCGCCTGCGCCAACAGCAACGCCAACTGCGCGTCCTGGGCGGTGGCTGGCGAGTGCGGCAAGAAGTGAGTGCGGGGCGCGGCGTGGGTAGCGGCAGCAGGCAGGGGCCCGCCCCTGCGCTGCGCGACACTCACCCGCTGTAGCGTCGCGCCGCTGTAGCGTCGCGCCGCTCCCGACGCCCTGCCGGCCCTTGCCCTGGCCTGCCGGCCCTGCCCTGCCTTGCAGCCCGGCATACATGCTGACAGAGTGCCGACTGGCGTGTGGGGTGTGCTCTGGGGCCACAGCCTGCGAAGACTCGAACAACAGCTGCGGCTTTTGGGCGGGGACTGGGGAGTGCCTCAAGAAGTGAGCCGCGAGACGGTGCCATGCCGAGGGCGCCGGCGGGATAGGCGCTGCATACGGCGGCCGCGCCGTGTCGCCTGACTGCCCCAGCCTTCCCTCTCCTCGCTGTGTGATATCCAAGCACAATTCCTTGTTTGCTCCCACTTGCAGCCCTGACTACATGCTCCAGCAGTGCAAGCTGAGCTGCCACGTGTGCGTGCCGTGCACAGACAGCCAGTGCGAGAGGAAGGAGACGGTGAGGCAGGGTGTCCTGCTGCTGGGCCTGCTGCTGTGCTGCTGCGCACGGGTGTGCCGTGGCGCTGCCCTGACCAGCAGTCTGCCCCTGCAGCCCAACTCATTGTTGGTGCTCGTCGATGCAACCACCCCCAGCCAAGCCTCCATACAGCTGTGCTTCTCCAAGACCGTGGGACAGTGCACGGTGGGTGCGCCGGGGCACCAACCGCCACCGTTGGGCCGGGCTGGCTTGCTGGCCAGCGGGCAGCGGGCAGGCAGGGCGTTTAGGGCCATGTGCAAATGGCGGGCGCGGGCGGACCCGCCGCCGCTCGCGCTGGGTGGCCTCCGACACGGCTGACAGCTGAGCCTGAGCCGCTGCCTAGCTGAGCCTGAGCCGCTGCTGCCCTGCAGTCACAGCTTTGACAACGTCCAATTCAGTAACGCGTCCGAAAACATGAGGGGCGCCTGGGGATCCAGACTGCTTTCAGGGAGTTCATCGGATGATTCTGTCGGCAATGACATTCATACCTTTGTTTGTTGAAGAAGAAGAACTTAAACCGCCGCATGTAGGGAATGTGTTGTGAATGATCGCTGGATACAGCAGCTGTAACCCGACTAGCTGCACCATGCTTTTTCTGCCAAGGATAAGGGTGATGCAAGCCAACGTCATGCAAACACGGTCACCGAGCTGGGCTTGCGGCGCGCGTTGATCCAGCGGCGGCAGCGGCAGCTCAAGGCATGATTAACAGCCAGGAGTAATTGGATGGTTGAGTGCAGGGAGTGCGCCTGAGCCCTACCCCCATGTGGACCATTATCGAATGCGGAGCAGACCCTCACAGGCGCGCCGCCGAGTGCGCAAGGGCGGCGGCTGGAGGCGGCACCGCCCTGCGCCGCTCGCTTGTCCGCGTGGAATGTGACCTCTATCCGTCTCAAAACGTGTGGGGGAGGGGTCTTATGGCGTGTTACCGCGTGACACGAGAGGAAGCAGCTGGGCGGAAGGTTTGGTCGCCCGCGTTTGGTCACCGTGTCGCGGGTTACTACAAAGCGAAGGGAACTCGTCAGGGCCATCAGTTCATTTTTGCAAGCAGCCCGGGGCGCACAAACGCTCTCGCCGCGGCCAGCGGTTCTGGACCTTGCCCCTCGCCACTCTGGCTCCTTGAAGCCTTGCGCAGAGCTCGTAACGTGCACAAGTTCACCCGGGAAGAGCAACAGAGCAAGCCTACTCGCGCAGCGGTGGGTGGAGAGACCGCCAGGGTTTTGCCCCGTGCAGCCTGCTGCTGCCTGCCGCCGCTCCGCCAGTCCTGCTGCCACATCACCAACAAGGGGCTCCAGACGCTGTTGCGATGGCCTTTGGTGGCCGACAATTCCAGCCAGACAGCTGGTCTGCGTAAATGGCCTGGACAGCCTGCCTGCTTAAGGGGCTTGCTGCCTTCGCCGACAACAGGGCACCTCAGTCCCGCAAGGCCCCCCCTTCACCCCACCCTCTGGCCTCCTGAACCTGGCTGCAGGCATACATCCAGTCGCATAGACAGATGCTGGGTGCTGGAACCATGTGGTGCAGCGCTGACCTCGGCGACGGCTTCGCGGCGGCATGCACCGGCGAGCTTGAGGCCCCGCTGTCGCCGCTGCTCGGCCAGCTGTCGCAGCCAGCTGGCGACGTCCCCGGCTGCTGCCGGGCCGACAAGCTCCCGCTGGTTGCCAGCTGGAACTCCCAGGAGGAGGGAAGCTGCGATGAGCTGGACTGGCTCTGCAACGCCCTGATGGAGCCAGGTGCAGACCTCACCCCGGCCTCCCAGCCACCGCCGGCGGGCTGCGCCGACCCCGCCGTACCACCTCATGTGTCCTTGGCGGCCATGCAGCAGCAGCAGCAGCAGCAGCAGCAGCAGCCGGCCATCTCCGCCGCACCCGTAGCGGCAGCAGCAGCAGCGCCGCCGGCTGCCGTGCAGCCCTCGCCGCCGCCGTTCCAGCCGCACCAGCTGCAGCAGCAGCTGTGGCAGATCCAGGAGCAGCTCTCGCTGCTGACTCAGCAGGCTGCCCTTGCGGCCGCGGCAGCATCAGGCGCCCTGCCCGCTGCCCCTGCAGCCGCCCTACCTCCTTGCTGGCACGAGGTGGCTGTGGCGCCCGCCGCAACTCCCTCGCCGCCGCTCCATGCTGCCATGCCGGCAGCACTGCCTGCCCCGCATGCTGGAGGCGACGGGCGAGGCTGCCAGCGCAGGCAGGCTCCCTGCAGCAGGCGCAGCAGCACAGCCATCAGCTGCTGCCGGGCAGCCTGGACGCCGCCTTCGAGCTGTCCCTGCTGTTTGACGGCGCCGGGCCGGCAGCCAGCGGCGGCGGCGACACGGCGGCAACCGCCTCCGGCGGCTGCCCGGCGGCCGCCGCCCGCAGCGACCCCCACGGCGCAGCAGGCGCGGCCACGGCAGCGCCCAGCCATGGCAGCTGGGGGGACATCGTGCGCATCGATAGCTGCGGCCGCAGCGGCCCGCCGCCGAGGCAGGAGAAGCCCAAGCAGCGGCGGGGGCGCAAGTTCAGCGACGATGAGCTGGCGGTGATGGCGGCGCAGGACCCCAGCCGCTACAAGCGCATCATGGGCACGCGCAAGGCAAGTGGCGCCAGGGAAAACCACAGCCTGCAAACGCCTGGCCGCTCTGGGGTGGTTGGCCGCATGCATGTTGCTTGCCCTCCCTTGTCCGGCCTGGGCCAACCCCTGCTGACGCGCCCCGCCCCTGCCCCATCCCTCCCGCCTGCAGTCTGTGGCCGCGCACCGCCAGCGCAAGCGGCAGCGGCTGCTGAGCCAGGCGCAGGAGCAGGCGCAGCAGCTGGAAGAGCAGCAGCAGACGCAGCCGTGCCAGCAGGCGCAGCAGTGCCAGCAGGCGGTTGCGGAGGAGCACCTCCTCGGGGTGGGATCCAACCTGGAGCTGGGGCAGGGCTGGGATTGGGGCTGGGAGGAAAGCGCCCTGCTCTCGGGGACCGCTGAGTGATGACGACCGCAGGGCGGTGTGCTGCCACCACGGGGCGTGCGCATGCCCCTAATTGATTTTGTGTGTACCATCGAACTGACCTGCCTCCTGGACCGACATAACTGCTTCATTCATCTGCAATGCTTTCACTGGGGAACTGCCACATTGTCACATTTCCAATGCTGAGCGGTGAGGAAAGCAATGAAACGAGGCCGAAGGGGAGAGAGAAGGCCGTGCCGGCGCAGCCAAGTCAGCAGCCGGGGGCAGACGCAGCCAGCTCACGCCCCCGCCTCCTCCTCCTCCTCCTGCGGCACCAGGTAGGTGAGCGCATCCGTCAAGGTGGGGAGGTAGGGCGCGGGGCTGCCGCCGTTGGCCAGAATGAACTCCTGCTCCAGCTGGTAAATGACAGAGGCGTTGCCCTCGTTCAGAAGCCCCACCAGGGCTCCCGCCAGCCTGCAGGAGGAAGAAAGCAGGCGGGGGTGTTGACGTGGCTGGCAGCCGGGACAACAGCCGTGCTGGGCTTGCCAGCTGCAGGAGAGGCTGAGCGCTGGTGCTGCCAGGCGCAGCGGTACACGGCCCAGGGTGGGGTCTGCGGCACCAGCAGTGCGCTCCTCGCGCCTCTGCCTGCCCTGCGCCCACCCCTGGCGCCACCCAGGCACGCGAGCACCAGCCCCACTGCCCCACCCAGCCCCGCCCCGCTGTGCCCCCCCAGCGCCTCACCGCGTGGCCAGCTCGTCCTCCCCTTGGCGTACCGCCAGGCCGTACGGCTGGGTATCCAGCGGTGCCTCCCCGGGTACCGCCACCACGCTGGCGTTGTATCTGCTGCGCGCCTGCTGCTCGAACACCAGCGAGGCCGAGTCGGTGAAGGCGGCCACGCACTGGCGGGCAGCCACCAGCGCATCCACTACCGCCCCCTCGCTGGGCAGTACCACCAGCTTCGGCTTGTACGTTTCCTGGATGTAATCGTTTAGGTAGTGGCCGTCCTGCATCGCGCCAGGCGCCGTGTGGGACAAGGTGAGCCCTGGCCGCGCAGCTCTTGGCTGTCTGTGGTGGAGGGGCGCGAGGCAGGCACTACGGCGGCCGCGGCGGGTGGCGGCAGCAGCGCAGTCGGCGAGGCACGGCAGCATGCCGCGGCGGCCACCTACCACGGTGCACACCGGCTGCCCGCGGATGGCCTCCCAGCCGCCCCTTGATGCCAGCCCCGCAGCGTTTGCCTCCAGGGCCCTCAGAGAGGTGCCCGAGGCATAGTAAAAGGGCCGCACGTACTGCACCAGGGCCTCTCGCTCGGGCGTGTACACCAGCGCCGCCGCCAGGATGTCGACGGTGCCGTTTTGCAGCGAGGGGATGCGGTCTGCCACATTGGTTATGGGCACAAAGTCGCAGGAGATGTTGGCGGCGGCGCACGCCTCGGCCGCCACCGCCACGTCGAAGCCTGCGGGCGGGGCAGGGAGGGAAAGAACAAACACGGCGTGACACCGGCCTGAGTCGGCATGCTGCTGCCTCCATGCCACATTGGTGCTGCGGTGGCAGTGGCCCTATGGCAGTGCGTCGGAGCATGCGGCAGCAAACACAGCGCCACCGCTTAAAGCCCTGCCGCCAAGCGCCTGCTGGCAGGGGGGAACGGGCGGCTTGCGCACCCCCACCTGTGAGCGCGCCGAGCTCATCCGTATACGCGAAAGGGAAGAAGCCGCCAAGCAGCCCCACTTTCTCTGCGGCCGCGGGCCACGCGCATGCAGCCGTCAGCAGCACCGCAAGGACCCAAGGTGCGGCCGTTCCGGCCATGGTGTTTGCGCAGAACTCAAGAGAGTTGAGCCCGGCCGTATCTGACCTGTTGGGCACACATAAGTGTGCTTCCGTTCATGAGGCCGTCGCCAGGCTGGCGGGCGCCGGCAGGCAATGGAGGAAGAGTGCAAGGCTCAGTTTACAATGAATGGATGGAAGCAACAGGGGCCTAATATAGTTGACGGCCCAAGACGAATCAGATTGAAAATTCAGCAGTGGAAATAGATATACAAGCACAGCAGTGTGTCCTGTGCAATGCCAACACGGCGCGGGAGTGCCACAGGAAGGCACACCCATGCCTACTCTAGAATAAACAAAAAGTGTTGGGTCTCATCTATCGAGCAACTAACTTCATTGACGACTCGATCGGAGCGTGCCTGTGTGTGTGTGACCTGCTGGCTGCCTGTCTAGCTGTTAAGGCGGCATGCTGCATATGCGTGGCGGGCAGCCACCAGCGTGGGCGGCGAGCGCGCTCACAGGCCTGCGCTGACCAGGGCGTGCAGCGTGACCAGCCCCCGCAGCCGCCCGTCGTCCACCACCGGCAGCATCGCCACCTTGGGCGCCTCCTCCATCACCTGCAGCCAGGCAGGCAGGCCGGGCAGGCAGGCAGAGTGGGCACGCACGGCTATAGAACGCACACGGCGTTCCAGCCAGGGCCCACCCTTGCCGGGCATGCATGCACGACGGGTCCAAGGCTCGCTGGGCGCGCAGGCGGCGCCACAGCAAGGGCCTCGGCCGGCGCCCAGCGGCGCCTGGTGCCGCTCACATGCATCGCATCCACCGCCATCTCCTCGCTGCCGCAGGTCTTGGGCTCCTCACACATCACCTCATCCACCCGCAGGCCCATCACATCCCGCCCCTCCGCGCCGCACTGCGCAAGCACGAGGCCCAGACAGGAGCCAGGTGAGCAGCGGGAAGCCAGGTGCGGCGGCAGCGCACACGGGAGCGACTGCGAGGCGCAGGCGAGGCGCGGGACGGCCAGCGGAGGCCTGGCACGCCACGACCGGCTGGCCCCCTCATCCATCAACTCCAGCACGCTGCAGGCTGCCGAGCGCCAGCCCTCGTCCCTCTGCCGGCGCCGCGCCCCAGCTTGCCTGCTGCAGCGTGCGGCGCAGGTCTCCGTCTGTGAAGATGCCGACCAGGCGCAGCTCCTCATCCGCCACCAGCACGCAGCCGCACCTGCGCGAAGTGAGCCGGGAGAGGGACGGGGCAGAGAGCGCCGGCAACGCAAGCCGCGTCGATCGCTCCCCGCACGGCACGGCGGCGCGGCAGCCGCGCACGCAGCGGGCGTGCGTGAGGCGGCTGGGCAGGCAGGCAGGCAGGCAGGCAGGCAGGCAGGCAGGCAGGCGCAGCCCACCCCTTGCTGGTAAGCTCCACAAGCACTTCGGGCATCAGCGTGGAGGGAGGCACCACCGGCACCTTGCCATTGCTGCAGGGCAGGGCAGGGCCGCAGCGGCGACGCCGCACTTTTTCTTGGCCGACAGCCCATGGCGCTGGCCGGGCAGGCGCAAGAGGTGGGGGCAGGCAGCGCGCCGCCGCCGCACTCACCAGCTGCGGCCGCGGATGGGGCGCCGAGGCAGCGGCGGTGTGCAGGGGTGGGCATGGCAGGGCATGTGGCAGGGCAGAGATGCATGTGCAACAAGGTATGCATACACCCATGCCCCCCCCCCCCCCCAGGTGGGCCTGTGGGGTGGGCTGATGAATGGGCATCACCACCACACCCAGCGGCTTGTGGGCCAGCCTCCATATCCCTCACAGCACCTGCCTGCCTCCACACCGCCAGCCCAATCCAGAACCACCACCACCACCGCCGCCGCCGCCGCCGCCGCCTGGACGTTGCAGCGCCCCCCCCCCACACACACACGCCCCCCCCCGGCCGCGACGCCCCCCGGGGCAGGCGGGCAGCCGAGCCTGCACACCTGATCATCACATCCGCCACGCGCAGGATGAGGCGCTTCCCGATGCGCCCCGCCGGGTGGTTCATCGCATACTGGTCCCGCGTCAGGTGGTTGGCCTGCGGTTGCACACACACACACACACACGAGCCGCGCGGTTGCAGCGAGCCCAGCCACTGCCGGCGGGCGCCGCCCGGCGCAGGCGCCACCCCCGGCCGCTGCCGCTGCTGCCCGGCGGGCCGCGGGCGCCAGCCCTCCACTGAGCCCTGCCGACAGGCCATGCCACACACACACACACACACACACAGGCATGCACACACATACCCTCCCCGCCACACAGCCTCCCCGCCACACAGCCACCAGCCCTGCAGCTCAGCCCCGAAGCCCCAGCCCCAGCCACCTACGCGCGCCCCCCCC